GACAACTTTATAATTAAGAAATGCGGAAATTGCAAGCGCTTTTGACGGAATATACGGCTCTGAACCGCATCACACGTGGTTGAATGGATCAAACGTTTTGAATCGATCAAACTTTCTTGAATAATATTTGAATTGATTGGTGCCTAAACCTGTTTTCAACCCATCAATTTTCGTGGTACATTTTTTTAATTTGCATTAATAATTTCGGCAATTAATATTGAATACGTGGAAAATAATATGTTGAGTCAATCATATTCAATCGTATAGAAGACGGAAAGCTCTACTGTATTTTACGTTAAAATACGCCCGGTATATTTCAGTGTGATAAACGTTACATTAACCAACTGCAAAACTTACCCTCTCGTTGCCTTGTATTTGTTGTTCAAAAAATTTCGTGTCATTGTTCAATTTTCTTCTATATATATTATCATATGGCTTATTGCAAATGGTCACATTATTCCTCTGCATTTGGCTATAATTTTATATCCAACACTGTTTAGGAGCCAGATTAATAGAAGCTCGTGAGTCTAGAAAATAAAAATACAAATAAGAACAATATAAAAGATAAAATTGACTACCAAAGGTTGGTATATTTGATAATTTATTTGCATATAATTAGTTGAATATGATGATGTGGTGGTAGTATTAAATGAGAATCATCACGATTTTGAACACATAACTTATTTGATCTTTAGATTGCAAACTTGCCACTAGCAACACAAGAGCAGCAGGTAAATGTGCAGTGGTATATATACCAGTAATGCATGCATTTGAGAGCCCCCCTGGATATAGAATACATGCTGTTGCTATATTGACCTGTGTTGTTTCTAGACCATTTCCACAATTTTCCCTTCCCTTAGAATTTCAATTAATTAACCCATTGAGCCGCAATGCGCCCCAGTACTTATATTTTTTTACTTGTCTTATGCCAGACGATTTTATTTGTCAATAGTTAACCTATTGAGCCACAATGCCCCCCAGTGCGCCCTACTTATTTTTTCTCTAATGCCAGACGATTTGACTCGTCAATGGGGAAACTCTGCAGTTTAATGGGTTAGTATGTGCACCTTACTTTAGCAGTTTACTCTGTCTGGCCTTGTGAGTTGTGCATTTATACCATATATTAATTTATAATGATTTATCTCATTTCAGAGTTGGTCAAGGAGATATAAGCTTCCCAATAGGGTAAGTGTCTAAGTTAATAAATTCAAGCATAAGTTTTTATAAAGCAGCTGCTTTCAATTGATGCAAACACCAATACTGATACAGTTACATAGGTGCCATTGACGGAATTTGGTCGGATGTTTTCATTGGTTCATTTCAAAATTATACTTGCATAAATTCCACACAGTATTTGCACAGTGCTCAGATTAATAACTTATCGACTTTGTTTTGTTTGATTGGATAATAAAATTAGAAAGTCACATACAGCATGTGGAGATTAGTGGCTGTGACACAACTACTGGCCGTGTTGATTGATTGCAGTCTCCCACCATTGGGGGCGGAGGGGGAGACAGTAGGCAGTGTGCAGACCACAGTACCATGTATATGGTATAAACAAAATTGGATGTTGGAATCAATGTTTTGATTGGAGCAATTTAAAAGGCTGCCAATCATTGGCACCAAATAGTGTTAAGCAGTGAGTTGTGATTGGGTCCAGGTAAATTAAATTGGTTTCTACTTTGTTGAACATTAAAAAACTTGTTTTCCCCATGTGAGATCATTGTACCATAGCAAAACTCTATTTTTTATAGTTCCTAAACTATTGTACTTGTTTTAGTTTGGATGTGCCGTTGAAGCAGAGCTTGCTGCCAAATACCTATCACCAAATTTAATAAATTAATTGGTGAGGGATGTGTGTACCAGTATAAGGAACTACACGGCATATCCAAAGAAGAGTGGGAGAGAAATGGTTGCCTCACTAATTGTGGAAACCTATCCATTTCTAAAAGACCCACTGATTGATGAAGGCAGTAAACCATGTATAAATAAGTATATTTGTTTTTTACCAATAGGGCTTATCACTTGGTGTTTAAACTCTTTTGACCACTTGCTATCAGGGCAAGAAAATTGGTTGTCCTGAATTTTAAAATTCATTTGCTATTACATCTAACCTTCAGCTAATATAATAACAAAATATGAAGCAAATGATTGCAGTAAGGTTGGATTTATCACATAAGATCACTTAATATATGACACCAATCTTATAATATTTGTGAGCCGTGGAGGCACGTAAGAAGAACCATGACAATATTAAAGAGCATATGAAAACCACATATTCAAAGAGGAGAGCCATGGTTGTCCATGATACGAAACCGATTATGGAAATTGTGGAGACGTTTCCGCCTCTTCAAAATATTCTTTATGTAAGTATAGTGTATTTGTGTCTTGTAAATAATTTATCTTTGATGTTCAAAGTTGCAGTTATATCAGTTATATTCAAATGTGGTTGGTATTTGTCAAGGGTGATATTAACTCTTGAGTGGCAGTAACTCTCCACTTGGCGAGTAAAACCGTCTGGCGTTAATAAAATACTAAAGTAGGGCGCGTCAGGGTGCATTGCCACTTAAAGGGTTAACAATTACATATAATTTGCTAGACTTCCGGAACTGAACTGAAATCAACCAATCACATAATGGTGCTGTCTTTGGATTCAAAACAGCCCTTTTTGAGAGCACCAAAACAGCCCCCTTTAAAAGAGCCAAAACAGCCCCTTTTGAAAGAGCCAAAACAGCCCCTTTTGCAACAGCCAAAACAGCCCCTTTTGAAAGATCCAAAGCAGCCCCACATACGAGCTAAATTGGCCCTTTTTTGAGAGCTGAAATTGGCATCATTCTAATTATAAGATTGAAAACAGCCCTTTGAAAGAACCAAAATGGTCCCACATAATAGCCAAAATGGCCCTTTAATAGTAGCCGAAATGGCCCTATTTTAATGGGGGCCGTGTCATGGTCACAATTTCGGGCCCACTTTGGGGGCCAAAATGGCCCTTTTGAAATTACTGTATATATATATACATATATATATATATATATATATATATATATATATATATATATATATATATATATATATATATATATATATATATATATATATATATAGTACAATCTGCAGACAATATATATATAGTACAATCTGCAGACATGCATGTTTCGGCGTTCAACGCCTCGTCAGTGCAGCTTGGTACACGTCTAGATACGTGAGACACTCGTATTAATACCCCATAAACTTGCTCTCACCAAGGCATGTGGTACAACGCATCCAGACATGCGCAGAGCGTAATGGGGCCAGAGTGCTCAAACGACCACAAGGGAAGTGAGCTTTTATATATATATATATATATATATATATATATATATATATATATATATATATATATATATATATATATATATATATATATATATATATATATATATATCGCAAGTACTGTAAACGATGACACATACTGTTTACGATGACAACCGAGATTTTTATTTCAAAGCCATTGTATAATGTTTCCTTATAATGATGGCTCAGAAATAGAGTTGAAACATTGTTCATATAGTGCCGTCGTATAAGAATAATGAATTTGCGTATACTACTGTGGAATTGAAATGTAAAAATGCATTTCCGATCTAAAGCCGCTTCCAACTTATTTCTACATTATCCGTCATAGGGCCCATTGCATTGTAATACATTGAAACGTTTAAGGAAATTTAACATTTCATTGTTCTTCTTGGTTCACAAAATTGTCTATGATCTCAACATGGAAGCTTCTTAACCTTTATACTAAAACAAACTGGAGAGCCTTAGCCGCCTGTGCATGATATGCTGCAAAACTTACCCATTGATTCGTTTATTGTTGACAAACGTTGCAGGTGTTTCTGGTTGGTTTTTATGAATTCGTTGACGTTGAAAATTTATGCATTTTATATAGTCCCTGACCACAGTGTATATTCTTTTGCATTGTGAATAATCATTTGTCACTGGATCCCCATTAGATATGATTCGAAGCTCTTGAGGGGTTGACTAAAAAGATGAAGGCATTATAAATTCTTAAATCATAACAAAGTAACATAAAATATTGAAAAATTTCGAGCATTTATTTCATTGGACACAAAACATAAAAACAACTTTTTTCCCGGTATAAATACTACTTATTTAACCTTAAATAATTATCTTTTGATGTTCGGAAAATTCTAATAGGTAATAAAATCGGAACTGAATCACCTGGTGCGTATATAAAAAATAACCTGGTGCGTATATTTCATGATTATCATGTTACACCCCCTCTTTATCACCCCATGCCTTGTCAAGCATCATCCCGGCTTTGAAGTCCCCCTTGTAAGCGTTTCAATTCTATACCAGTGTCTCATTTGTATAAATTAATCTATAAACATATGCCCTTTTCTACAATTCACTCTCTTATAATTTCTTCTCAATAATTCTATAATCTATAATTTCTTCTCAATTTACTCTCCTATAATTTCTTCTCAACCCCCCACCCCAAATTGGTGTTTTATACGATATAACAACACAATAATTCGGATGATGGGGTGCTCTTTGTGGTTGAGAGAGTTCCTCGTTTTTATTTTTAGCACTCTGAGTTCTTATCTATATACTCAGTGAGACTATATAATGGCTCAGATCCCCGTTATATTCTCATCAACAGGACACACTAATTTTAGTGTGCACACTTAATTTTAGTGTGCAGTGCCAGTGATCACTATAATTTGCAGTGATAAAATGAATTGTGCGCATGCAGTGAATAAAATGATAGCACTTAGAACCCACAATTTTAACCTTGTTTTGCATATTTCATAATATTTCATAGATTTGTGTGCGATAAAATCAAATTCGCTATTTTCTGTAATTCAGTTGTGGACTATTTTTATGGCAAAACCCTTTCTTGGGTTAAAAAAATTGTGATCGTGGATTACTTTTACTGTGTAGTGGGCCAGCATAGTTGTATTTCAGTCAACTTAAAGGATGTTGTCCGTGATGTTTTCCTGCAGGGGTACCAGTACTTTCCGGACTGACAGACCTAGTGCTTATATGCTTCCAAACGAAGCAGGCTTCATACTTACATCGCATTTATCTATTGACGACAGTGGCTATTCGTGGAAGGACAATCTTTCACAATTAAAGAGTTTTGTTCAAAACGATTTGAATATAATTAATGTAAGTTCTACTAAGCAATCTCAGTCTGCCGTACTCTCTCCAATTAAAACAATCACTATCTAGAGCCTCGTAAGCTACCATCTGTAATACAGCAATGGCAGCAATCAACCAACAAAGGAGCAAAAAAACGGATATAATTCGTCACTAAAAGCCTCTACCCCCTGCCCATTTCGTATACGCAGTGGTCGATGTCTTAAAGGTAACGGTGCGATTTTAAACATCCTAAACCATCTCAAACACAGAAATGTAATATACCATGTTCCTTTCTGCAAAAAAGGGGCTATACTGCCTGAAGAAGAATAGGTGTGACTTTTCCCGCGACAAATTGATGCCTAACAACGCATCTCTCAGACCCTATCTAGGCAATTATGCGCATCCCAATCCTTTTTTATCTCACCGCCGAGTCTCGGTGAGACGATACATCAATCCCAACCCGTTCCCGCCGCGTCAGGTATTACCGGGAACCAGGGAGAAATTTACCCGTTCTAAATCCCTTGACGGAAATCCCAGTCCCTGCATGGTTACATCAACCAACCCCCCCCCCCTTCCCCCCTCATCTACAACCACTATATAATGAGCAAACTAAGAGTACGACACAGACCTCTTATCAGACATCTTACGAGACAATGAGAATACCAGTTAGAATTATACGTCGTCCTACCCCAAATTTTCTTATTACCCGCAATACTAGAAATACCCGTAACCTGATTTCTATTAAAAAATAAAAATCAAGAGATGATATCTAGAAATAGACCCCCAACCGTTACTAGATCACTCCCCAACGTTATGGTTCTCAATGCAAGATCAATCTTTAATAAAGTTGACGAATTAAAAGCTCATATTGAAAATTACAGATCTGATATAATTTTTGTAACAGAAACTTGGTTCTCTGAAATATTCCGAATGAAGTAATTTATATTGATGGTTTTAACGTTTTCAGGAAAGACAGAACGGAAATGCGTGGAGGAGGCGTAATGTTTTATATTAAGGCATGGGTGACACAAAGAGTAAGACCAAAATGGCTGCCAAGAAAAATTTCAAGAATCGCTCTGGCGATTGCGTTTACCTTCCACCCTCTATATCACACAATGATTTAAAACTCTATTTTACAACTCTATTTATAAGATTAGCTAAGGTCTCTAAGCCAAAGGCAAAGCATTGACGCGCGCAATCTTGCGACATAAACCTAAGTTTTGTCCATCTGTTCATGATAAGTTTTGGCAAAAACAACTACTATACATAATTTGCCCACAAACATCCTCATCTTTTACAATCTAAATTATATTTCCTACATACAATTAACGCAACTTTTACGACAAAAGCATATATTTAAGATGAATAGCTTAACAAAAATAGCTCAATAAACAAAATATTTTCCGTGTCACAGTTGGGAAATAAAATACAATTCAGTACCAAAAATATATAGTATTTTGGAGAAAATGTTCTAAATATAATGATTTTGTAAATTAAGGAAAGAAAGTGCTTTCTTCATTCCAAATTGCATGTACGCAAAACCATGCTACTATAGCACCTATAGGGAGATGCGAAACATAATGGGGCGAGCTAGACTTGAATCAAGTCCGTCTCTAAAGTCCGAGTCGCGAAGCGATGAGATCGAGACGTTACAGCACCTCGCGCGCAGCCGTCGCGGCGCGCTCGATCCCTCGGACTCTAGAGAGATGGACTTGACCCAAGTCCAAGGCCGGCAAGAGCGAGCCTAAGCACCCGTATACGTCTATACGAGCGATATGACAGGCTAAGATCGTAGGTATAGGTACTGGGTATAGCCGAGACACACTGTGCGATTTGAGATTGAAGGTTATGCTGGAGCTATAACGTTTTAACAAAAATTCTACATCTTAAAAACTGTAGTTGCTACATGTTTCTTTTGAAAATATGACTGCCTTCGCGTCACGATATTTGCACGCTTCTGATTTAGCTCGAGGACAAGGGCTTCCGAAACATTCATATTTCGCATCTCAAATGATCAAGAACAAAACTATGTTCTCGTGTTTTGGCAGGCATTGTATCTGCTTTGATATAAAGCACACAAGTTGACTCATCCAAATCTTGTGAAAACGACAGAACAGACGAACCGTATGGCACCAAATTAAAAACACGAACACGGTTTTGCTCATACATGTACTTTGTTCAACATTGTGGTAAAGTTCGGAGGGAATCGGATAAAACGTGCGAGGTGCATTTCTATTTTTGTGGGGACAATCTGTATGAGAAATATTCATTCTCCGTAAAAGACCATAACAGGTTTGGCGTGTTTTTTCCGCTTTCTCTTATCACCTCTAACTGTAATTGGATTAAACAAAAGTAAAGTGTGTTTTGGCAAGGGTTTTCGGTGTCATTTACTCATTAGTCATTATTAGTTTATCACAAACCGTACGTGCAAGAAACCAGATAGAAAAACTAACTTGCTCATATGCCGGCGAAACGCAAATGTAAAGACTTCGCTACAGAACCATCTAAGTCGGGCAAACGAAAATGCAGGAGAAGATCTGTCGTGCACCACGAAGACGCAAGCGAGTTTGAAGGTCACACATCCGATATCGAGTATCATCCATCCACATATTGTCAATTACAATTACAACTTTCGCGGCAAAAACAATTAGTGGTTGTAACATGTTTTGTTATATCTCGGTTTCATTTTAATATTTTCGTAAAAAAATTGCGGCAATCGAGAGATCTCCAACCCCTCCATACAAATCAATAAAAATCAGTGTTTTCATCATATAAAGTGACTTTAAATTTAAATCTTCTTAATTACCCACTATGGACCGGTATCAACCTCGTAATAATAATTATTAGCCTAGCTCAAAAATATTTTGAAATTGTACGCTAAAATGTGCCTCTAAAATGTGCGGTTATGTGCCTCTAAACAATACTTATTGTTGAAATAATAAACTTAAGTACATAACATCAACGCCATAAATGTTACTTGATTTTAAAGCTGGATTTCAAATGGTTCTACTAAAGGTATAAACTATATGATTTTATGCTAATGCATGCTAGTACGTACTTAAGTTTATTTCTTTCAACACTAAATTTAAATCGCACAGTGTGTCAGGGCTACAATGCTACATGTACTAAAATGTGAAGGAAACATAAAGGGCACTTCTGTAAAATTTATGAAACCATGCTCCGAAACAGCAAAACTTACCCATTCATTAACCGCTTTACACGAGTTAGTCAGGTATAGACGACGTATGATGGCAGGTTTTCTTCTACTGGTTTATATCCGCAACGTCTCACTTGAACCTGACACCAAAATACTAATTCGTTGCCGCAACTGTATGCAACCATTTGTCTAAACAAAATTATGAAGAATTTTAGCTATACATGCTTGTAGGCCTATCAAAACATTTTCCACGCGAAGGCCGATTTACATTACACAACCTTGGCTAAAACTATCGCATGCAATCTGCTTATAACTTGAGCGAATCAAGCACACAACTCACCTACTTTGTCACTCCGGATCCATAGAACAGAATGTTGAAGGAGCAGTTGCAAGTAACTATACAGCGCCTATATGCACATAGTTGTGTTCCATCGAAGTTCGACGTCGAAGTTCTGCCTACACTGGCACCGACCGTTCGAGATTTTATCGGCCTTAAGAGTGACTGCCTGTAACCATCACGCAAAATTTGAAATCCGCGGCAAACCTTGAAAAATCGATTTCCCTTATACTTTCAAGTTAGCGAGGGTAATGTTCCCAAGAATTGCCTTATAGTTGGTTTGATCAAATATCGCTTTATAACGGAGAAAATTTAAATTATCAAACACTACCAAAAAACGCCGATTACGACAGTTAATTATTACTCAACTTTCGCGGCAGATGGTCGAAAAAAAAAACGCTAGAGGTTCAAACACCCCAAATACTTTGAAAATATTCCATTGTGCACAACATGTGTGACTTTAAGATCAATTGTTCAGTTATAACACAACAATATAATTTTATTCGCTAGACATATATTTCGAGTCGTTCAAATTATGTCGTACAAAAATATGAATTTTAAAACTGCTTAACTTGTCAGTCGCTTGAAACGTCCATGCTCGATTACTTATATGTTTATCTTTCTAATGGTATAAAAACATCTTTGGGCAAACGATTTTCATTCACGTGGTAGCTCCTCAAACTTTGGTCAAATTTACTCATTTCTGGCATTTAATTTAATTTGGCGGCGTTCAACAAAATACAAGATGCTAGTGTTTATGTGTGGATTATGAACTCATAAACGAAGCTAAAACACATCAAAAACCTTAAATGATGCATTTTGTTAAGGATTCTTACCTGTTAAACTGCTAAACCCAGATGTTCATGAGTGTTTTTCAATAACATCGATGTGGTTTATTTGTTTACCGATTCGACCAAGCTGTAGCCTGCATGGCAGGCGGTACGTAGGAAATACCGCCTGCCGCAAAACTGGGTGTAAATGAACTACCGCCCCTGAAGCATCAACGCTATTTATAGATGCATTAATTAAGTAAATATTCAAAATTAGCCACTCCCAAGCTGCTCCCAAGTCCCAACTGCCCAACATAAAATAAATTCCTTGATTCTCATCACCGCCCGACTGAATTTTAAAATCCTCGTGAAAACGTTTTATTTTTAGTTATACAATATAAATGTACCGCCCGACAAAATAATTCAAGACAGTTAATTTTTTCATATTTTATATAGAGTTTTTATTGCCATTTTAAACTTCCAATTTGAAACAAACAGAATTTTGAGTGAAATTTCATTGTATTTTAAAGAAACCCAGTCATTCTGTCATTGTTCGTGGAGATACGAACTATTGATATATAAATTATATAAATATAAAATATAAAAAATAAATCTCCCACTGTCTTCGACATTTCAAAGTGTAGACTGTGTCTAGTGATGAGAATCAAGGAATTTATTTTATGTGTTAATATAAACCAAGCCCGTTTAGCTGCCTTAAAACGGTGGTTTAATAAGCTCAAAATACAAATCATGCAAGTCTATACTATAGATTCATCATCAGTCAACAACCAAACTAAAAGTATTGAACCTTATAGAACGATAGTTTTATTTGTTTACAACTATACATATTCAACGGGTATATAAGAGTTTAACTGCATGTTATTTGATAATTACTGCATCAACCGGCCCCTTGTTTATACTTTGGAGGTTCGTATATAATATCTATCAAGTATCTTTGGTTCAGAACATGACTGATAGGCCTATATGGAAATCCCACTGTTCGATTCAGTGAAGAAATATCTCCTAATTTCTATCGATAGTTTTAGTAAAATGTCAACATTATTGCGATTTATGGCCTTTGAAAGTCAAGCGAAATAGTATATTATCATATTAATACGCATGTAATTGTCTGAACGAAAATATAGACTAGCCCATACCTTTGGCCATCATAACTTCGGCCCCTTCGGACGTATCTTCTTTGTTAAATATTCTTGTACGAATCGCTATCAAAAACACTACTTAGAGTGTTATTTTTCAGCTTGTATCTTTAAATTTGCTTCTTTTATTATGGTATTCCATTTCTGGTCTGACTTGACGTGAACTAATTTCAAAACGCAGAGTTTCAAAACGTCAAAACATTTGGTTAATGATTAACATTTAACCAAATTTAGCCGTTGATTGACAACTACATAAAAATACTAACCAATCCGTTTTTCCCGTTCACCAGCGGACGGGTAATTCAAAAACCCCTAGTTTTGCGGCAGACGGTATTTCCTTTGCTTCCCTAATTTTCGCTGCCCGTAGAAATACCGCCTGCCATGCAGGCTAACCAAGCTGCCGTGTCTGCATGCACAAGAGGCCAAATTTTGTAAATATATTTGACATCCGTTATTCCGTACGATGTTTAATTATTTATTCGGTTTATTTACGTGATATCTTGTTCGTTGTATGGCATATCACACATTTTAATACAATTGTTGTATATTTCAGGTCACTTTAATATTTCAAAGCGCGCTTCCCATGTTTTGTTTTGATTGTAAATACTGCATATTACTTATTACATTTCTAAATTTAGAATACTGGGCGGGGTTTGATTACAAGTTGCGAAATTTATAATAATCTGCCATATTTTGCCATTTCATCTTTTTAATGCCCAACTTTACAGCATAATCAAATAAAGTTCAGTACTTTAGTGCGATATGGAGGTTTGTTGTTCGTTTAAGACGATAATTGGGGGAATATGTGGTTCAGATAGCCGAGATAAAAAAGAAGTAGTGACAGTCATTCCACTAGTTTCCTGTTCAAGAGATATAGCAAAACATTTGGGATCATTGGCGTTTTCTGGACCGGAAAATGAGGTAGATTTGATCTTGTCTCGAGCTGCGATATTTAAGATACCACAGGATATAAACAACATGACAATATGCCCATTCCATCGCGGGAAACTTGGTTTAGGATGGACAAGAGGAGCTAGTATAAGATGCAGAGTTCCACCTGTTTTGTCACAGCACGGTAACAAAAATAAGAAAAGTTGGCCCAAGGGTGAAAGAGGGTTGGGAAAATATGACTCCCTACATGTGTTACGAAAGACTGGCGTGTTTATTCAGTGTGGCTCAGGTAAGAATTTTTTGTCAGATTTTGATGCGTTTCTTTCTGAGAGCTTTTGAAACTTACAAACTCTTGCAAAAATGCGAGCAAAAATGAAATATATTTGCAAGAAATTTATCAATCATCAAATCAAGAAATGTTTGCTATTTCGCTGTCGTCATGCAGTCGTTATAATGCACACTTTAAATTAGACCAATCAGTGTTCGCTATTCATGACAGTCCGCCAAATATTTTGAGATCAGTGAGGATGACCACCCACCGAAACATCGTTGGTGAGCCACGCCCGCAATATTTGATGAACTTTAGACTTCGCTAATGCTTTCGTTTCCCCGGGTGTAAATAGCCGGGGGGAAATAGTACCTCGTCGGCTCGGGGATTACAACCCAATTTAATAAAATGTAATGAGCAGCACTTTATTCCACAGGAGTATGCAGAAAATGTAGAGATCTTTTGAAGAATCTTCGCAGAGTAGATGTCGATGAACTAGAAAGTCAGTTGAAGCAAACAACATTGGTATGTCAAATAGGATATGGTGAGAGGCAGCCATGTTATCGGCAGATTAATAATTAAAAATCCACATACTGTAACGAACCTCTGTCTCTTATATTAGACACCCGTTTACACGATGTCCGCAAAGTTTGAAAACGAAACGAAATTCTTACTTTTAGTTCACACGATACCGGTATGAAAAAACATGAAACCGTAACGATAACCATAAGAGTTTGAAACCGCAGCAAAATTCTGCCGTCTCGGCACCGTGTGAACGCCTAACCCTAAGAGCTGTATTACGGTAAACAAGGTAAACAAGCAATGAAGCTATGAAGGTAAACTTCAAATAAGAAAAAAACTCGAAACAATTATCGCACCAAACCGGAACGAAACTCTACGGGATAATTTTCTGCCGGCAGAGTTTCGTACCGGCATGGTGTGAACGAGCCGGATACAGATGTGCACCAACGGACGGACGGACGGACGACGGACGAATAGGTGTATAGACGACCGATGAGTCGATCGAAGAATAAGAGAAATAACGGTATCTCACAATTTTTAGGATGATGATGATGATGAAGTAATGTTCAAGACACCCATGCACAAAACTATCCCAGTTCCTCAAACACCTCTTGATGTAATGGATTCAACGTTTTTTCCCCCCTCAGCAGTTTCTGAACTCTCACAGATGGAAGACCCTAACACAACGCCTCGAGAAAGGCTGAATGTGTTTCTTGCTTCTAGAGATGTAAGCCCCATAAGGACAGCGATGAACACTTCATGGCATGCAGCGGCAGATCGTACAAAAAGACACTATTTACGTAAAGCTAGGCAAGTTATTCACGCAACACTTGAAGAAATCGCACCAGAAAATTCTGAAGAGCTATTAAGAGCCGTGCAAGAAGGAAGTATGGGCGGAGAAAGTGACTTGGATTCAACACTTTTGGAAGTCTTGGTCGAATGTTACGATAATGCAAATTGTTGGAGCAGCCGCAGACAGATACTGTCAATCATGGCTGACAAAGTCAGCTTTACAACGCTTCAAAAGTGGATCCCTGGTATATCACGTTATCGGTTTTCAATTGCACGCCACCATCGATTGCTTCATGGAAGAGGATCTGAAGTTCCTCAACGTGACCTACGGCAAACACGAATGAGGGCCTCACCTGAACAGCTGGATCATTTCTTAGCATTCATAACGAGTTCAAGAGCTATCCAAGATTTACCATTTGGTGAAAAAACTCTAAAACTATCTTCTGGTACTGAAATCAAGATCCCAAATGTAATAAGAACCTCAATCCCAGAACAGATCGTAAAGCAGTATGAGCGCTATTGCGCAGAAATCGGATACAGCTCCCCTCTAAGTCGAAGCAGCAATCTAAGGATACTGAAAGTATGTTCAGCATCGATGCACAAATCGCTTCAAGGGCTCGACTATTTCTCTGCTGATGGGGTGAAGGCCTTTGATGATTTACAAGAAGTTGTCGAGAAGCTTGGAGATCGCTACCAACGAGGAATGTCATGGTCGAAAGAAATTTCAAAAAAGCTGAAGCTGGCAAAGCGCTACTTGAAAGGGGATTATAAGGTTAGTGACTAATCTTCCTAATCAATCAAATCAAATCTTCTGTGATCAAAGTGTATGTTAATCAAAATATTTGGTAGTGTAAAGGCCTGGTCACACTACACAACGATAACGATACGATAAATTGTAAACACGCGATAATTGTCAAAAAAATTGTGTTAGTGTCCACACAACAACGAAAATGATAAAATTATCGTTAGACGATAACGATAACGATTTTAAAATCGCTCACCTGAGCGATTTTTTTTTCAGTCGGACGATAACGATAAATTTTTGACCAATCAGCGCGCGTATACAAGTTATCGTATCGTTATCGTTGTGTAGTGTGACCTGGGCTTAAGCCCCCATTAAAGAAAGCGATTGCTTTGAAATTTTTTGATCAATGACTTTTTAAAAATTTAATCACAGAAAGCTTGGAAGTGTAAACCGAGCATAGTTTGCAATCCAGCATGCAAATTCGTCCGCCATCATAATAAGCGCCATATTTTTCTTTCAGGTGCACATATCGTCTAGTTCAAGGATTCCTGATCATTGTCGGCCCTATGCCTTAAGCCATGCCAGTGATCCAGATTATTTGCAGTCCTGTAAGCATAAACATGATCTAATCTGCGACAGATGCAATCTGTTTCCTGCTGCTGTGCGCGAAATGGAGTCAGTTTTGGACGAGGATGATATACCCCTAGAAGAAAAAGAGGAAATGAAGTTCATAGTAACCCAGGCAAAGAAGAATATCGAAGCGTGGAAAGCCCATTTACTACGATCCGTCAACCAAGATCAGGCTCGGTTAGATATTCTTGACAAACTGGATGACACTTCAGTACTCGTCATCTTGGATTGGGCAATGAAATTTATTCCCAGAAGATACCGAGAAAGCCAGGCCGACTGGTTCGGCAAAAGAGGTATTTCTTGGCACATCAGTGTAGCCATGAGAAAGGTAGATGGCAAACTACAAAACCTCACTCTTGTTCACGTGTTCGACAAAAGCAACCAGGACAGCTTGTATGTGATAGCAGTAATAGATGACGTCATTTTCCAGTTAAAGCGCGCAATGCCAGAACTGAAATCTGTCAACTTTAGACAAGATAATGCCGCCTGCTATCATAGCTCAGCCACCGTAATTGGAGTACAAAACCTCGCAAGAAAGCACAAAGTGGCCATTCGTATAGATTTTTCTGATCCTCAAGGTGGCAAAGGTCCCTGCGACCGCAAAGCTGCTGTGTTGAAGAATCACATGCGTACATATCTTAACTCTGGAAATGATATCACGAACGCAGTACAGATGAAGACCGCTATGGAATCGAATGGTAGTGTACGTGGTCTAAGTGTGGTTCTCGGTGGTTCTCTACAGATTCCAGAGAAATATCTACCAGAGAAATGGGAAGGCGTAAGCCTCATCAACGATGTTGTTTACAAGAAGCGCAACATGGAGGTTTGGAGAGCATATGATGTCGGAAATGGAAAAACGATACAGTATACTAAATTTGAATCAACGAAGTCATCCTCATCAGTTACGTTACCCACTCTTAACAAGATGGAGGATTCTGACCAGATTCCAGATTTCTGCGATGTCCTGGCACGAAAGAGCAGAAAAGAAAAAGAAACAAAGACCGATGCTGAATCGCACGAGGATGACAGTGATACCGATGACGACACCCTGTTCACCTGTTCCGAAGAAGGATGCGTAAAAGCTTTTCAAAGATTTTCGTCGCTACAAAAACACCTAGACTTTGGAAAACACCAATATGCTCTAGAGAAAGAAACTTTTCTTGATCGGGCTATGCAGATATATGCTGAGAATTTGGAGAGTGGGAAGGCGAACATTGAGGAAGTCCAGGAATCTGCTTCACAACCTAGCTCAGATATACCCCCATTACTGATGGGTTGGGCTTTGAAATATAGTTCATCTAGCCGACGATTTACGGAAGCTCAGAAGAAATACCTAACAGACCTGTTCGTTCTTGGAGAGCAAACAGGAAGAAAAGCGGATCCGGAACAGGTATCCAAAGCTATGAGAAAAACACGGGGTGCTAATGGGTCTTTTCTGTTTGACGCTGGAAGCTATCTCACATCAAAACAAATTACTAGCTTTTTTTCCCGTTTATCTGCCAAGAAATCTCTTCCAGCCACCTGCTCAAGCACTGCTGATAACGATGAAGAAGAATCGATTGACGATATGCTAGCATCACAGGAAGAAATAGAGTTTGAACGTGTGCGACAAGAGCTTCTCAGCGAATTTGTCATTGCTCATCCCATTGTCTTCGATACCTATAACATCTGCCAAATGGTTGCTGTCTCCGGTCTTTCGAAGTTATCTATATCTGTGTTACAAGACATTTGTAAGTACTTTGAACTTGACTGTTCAGATATAACAAAGAAACGAAAGCAGCCTTACGCTGATATCCTTACAGAGTTTGTCAAGAATTCATGCACATGTACCAATTAAATCCTGATTCTTCGCAAAGTTCCGCCCGTCTCTACGTGAGCAAATCATCGCGGATGGCTTTCCACTCCCTATACAGTGGTGTTAGTTTTTTTTTTACCTTAAGGCCCTGTCACACTATTGCGTATGAGAGAAACGTATGAGAAGCGTATCAAAATTAATGAAATAATTTTCATACGCACAAAAATCTTTTGAAATGCCAGCGTATGAGTACCGTACGTCTGGCGTACCTCTAGCGTATTCATCGTGTGCCTAGAGTATGCTTATCGTATAAAGCATACGTTCGATACGCACAAAATTTTTGAACATGCTTAAAAAAAATTTCTGCCTCGCTGTATGCCAGCGTATGCCACCGTGCTTGAAACGTATACAACCTATGACGTACCCCTAGCGTATGTCAACGTATACTGGCGTATGAGTGATATTTTTCATACGCTGGCATACGCTAGTACGATACGCAATAGTGTGACAGGGCCTTTAGTAAAGGATGTTCGCCGTAGCAAGAAAAATACTGTATTTGTATACTATATTTAAGAAACAAGTTTTATCATTCATAATAATATTACTGCGATTTAATTATTAACTTTATTATTTTCCAAAAATGTCTATGTTGAGCCAGATCAGTCTCGGGAAAGATGTATATTTTGTATATATATATATAGAGAGAGAGATCATATATGCCTATTGATATGTTGATATGTTAATAGAAGCTGTTATCTCAAGTGATCTTTACTAATTGATATGATACTCAAATAGTGTAGGTGGAAATGCAATTCGGTCAGCCTGTGTGTATGTGCTTTACTTTTTTATAAATACTATCCCCGCCCAGTATTCTAAATTTAGAAATGTAATAACCGAAGTAACTAATATTCAAAACAAAACATGCATGGGAACTGCGCTTTGAAATAAGTGACCTGAATCGACAATAATTGTATTAAAATGTGTGATATGCCATATTACGAACAAGATATAAACCGAGTAAATATCGTTCTGAATAACGGTTGCCAAATGTATTTACAAAATTTGGCCTCCTGTGCAGACACGGCCGCTTGACAGTCGGTAAACAAAGCCACATCAATGTTATGTTGAAAAACAATCATGAAAATCTAGGTTTATCAGTCGTTTAGCAGGTAAGAATCCTTAACAAAATGCATCATTTAATAATAAGGTTTTTAATGTGTTTCAGGTTCGTTTATGAATTCATATTCCTCACATATAAACACCAGAGCATAAACACTAGCATCTTGTATTTTGTAGAACGCCACAAATTAAATTAAATGTCAGAAATGAGTAAACTTGACCAAAGTTTGAGGAGCTACCACGCGAATGAAAATCGTTTGCCCAAAGATCTTTTTATACCATTAGAAAGATAAACATATAAGTAATCGAGCATGGACGTTTCAAGCGACTGACAGGTTAAGCAGTTTTAAAATTCATATTTTTGTACGACATACTTTGAACGATTCGAAATATATGTCTAGCGAATAAAATTTTATTGTTGTGTTATAACTGAACAATTGATCTTAAAGTCACACATGTTGTGCACAATGGAATATTTTCAAAGTATTTGGGGTGTTTGAACCTCTAGCGTTTCTTATTTTTCGACCATCTGCCGCGAAAGTTGAGTAATAATTAACTGTCGCATCGGCGTTTTTTGGTAGTGTTTGATAATTTAAATTTTCTCCGTTATAAAGCGTTATTTGATCAAACCAACTATAAGGTAATTCTTGGGATACATTACCCTCGCTAACTTGAAAGTATAAGGGAAATCGATTTTTCAAGGTTTGCCGCGGATTGTTCGATGGTAACTGACAGTCACTCTTAAACCTGTTTAATTCGGCTGAGTTTAAGCCGCTTCAGCAAATGCTCGATGGGAAGCTGAAAGAACTACAGAGCACCCAAAGCCCAATGAAGACGAGAGTAGATGCAGTGACGGTTAGCGATGAAAAGGTATAGATTTGAGCGGACTACTACAAGGAGCTAATTGTGGAACTGTGAACATCAACATTAATATGAGTAAATAAATTACTGTCTTTATAATATAGTTGTGTGAAAAGTTTAGTGAAAAGTGAATATTAATAAGTCGAGTAATTAACACTTTATCTTACTGTCATTAACATTGTAGTGTAATTATTTTGTTTGTGGTGTAAAATGTGAATGCCACGTTGAGATATCATTTTTCAATTTATATGGATATTGATCCTGAATTTGTTGAAACTATGCTTGAAAGCTTTCATGTAGATGATTTAATTTCAGGAGGCAAGAATATTGTGCAAACACACAAATTGTATTTGAAAGCTAAAACAAGATTAGCCGAAGGCGGATTTAAATTATGTAAATGAAAACAAATGATGACAGTTTAAGAGCACACATGGCCAATTTGGAAAACGGTGGTTTGGATCCTACATTCCTCCACCATGGAACATACACCAAATAGGAGAAAGAAATTGAACTAAGAGAGGAATATCAGACCAATTGCCAAGAGAGGGGAAGGCTAGAGTAAGAGTTCTTTTTCGATTCTGCAAGTCAAAATTCGTTTGTAACCAGTAAAACAGCTAAGTCTTTAGGTTTACGACCAGTTAGGAACGAGTGTTTTATGGTAAAATCATTTGGAAATCAATGCAGCAGAGAGCGCGGTTGCATGTTGTTGTTTCAGTAGAGCTACTTCCCATGAGGGGAGGGCAATCTTTGCAAATTGAAGCCTTTGTTGTACCTGAAATTTTGCATGTCAGGAACAAGCATGTTGAAATTATAAAACACCAGTATTCACACTTAAAATGTATATGGTTTTCTGACGTGAATAGATGGGCCGAAGAGTTAGATGTAGATATCTTGATAGGGGCAGACTATCTATGGCAATTTCAGACAGGTAGTACAGTTAGAGGGAAGACAAATGAGCCAGTTGCAGTTCAGACTTTGCTAGGTTGGGCTCTGTCAGGTCCACTAGTTTAGGCAGTGAGGAATGTCATGTAGCTAATGTTAATTTGGTAGGAAGGGATGAAAAGCTTACATGCGATATTCAAAGATTGTGGGGTTGAGAAACCCTAGGAATACAACCTGTTAATCAGGTGCATGAAGAGTTTATGGATAATACTTCATTTCAAAACAATAGATATTCCATTAAATTACCTTGGAAAGAGAGTCACGATATGTTGACAAGTAATTATAACACATGTGTTTCACAATTGAAGGGTCAAGTTAGGAAACTTAAGAATGACCCTTGACGTACCGTTTTTGTCGTGTGGTTTATGGTTTAAATTCCTCACCATTTCTGTTGAATGCCACGTTGAGATATCATTTTTCAATTTATATGGATATTGATCCTGAATCTGTTGAAACTATGCTTGAAAGCTTTTATGTAGATGATTTAATTTCAGGAGGCAAGAATGTTGTGCAAACACACAAATTGTATTTGAAAGCTAAAACAAGATTAGCCGAAGGCGGATTTAAATTACGTAAATGAAAACAAACGATGACAGTTTAAGAGCACACATGGCCAATTTGGAAAACGGTGGTCCGGATCCTACACTACTCCACCATGGAACATACACCAAATACCTGAATGCAATGGGATTCAATTTCTTCAAGCATGAAAAAAGGGATTGTCGGATAAGGACAAAATTCCAATATGCCTCTGCCATGAAAAAAAACTCTATGCGACTGTCCAGATTTATACAAAAGTCAGATATCATTTTACCTCGACGGCATGTCATTTATTCACAAGTTTAATCCTATGAAAGACGTGTGCCAAATGTGGTGTGGCGAAAGTGTGGGGAGGGAATTCAGCTGACAGCCAGAGGCAGCAAAGAACTTGCTGGTGGAAGGCACTTGCATCTGATGGTTGCAATTGCACATGGGAAGGTATTATTTTGAAGGACGTGTATGAAAAAATGAGAGGGGATTTTTTCTCTTCCTTTATTCGAACTCGATTCAACATAACTTTTGCAAAAGCCAACGGCAGGAGATAATTTATAATGATGGATAACGACCCGTGTCAAACAAGTACAAAGTCCATTTCTGCTTTAAATTATATAGAACCAGAGCTTCACCCCTTACCTCCATGTTCCGCAGACCTAAATCCTATAGAGAATACCTTCCACCTCATAAGAAAACATTGGCCGATGAAGCTTTAAAACTGAAGAATGAAAAAGAATCGTTTGAGCAGTTTAAATCTTGTGTGTTTCGTTGCTGTGATAATATTGATTCATCAATAATTGACCGAACTATCGAAAGCTTACCAAAAGGAATTAATGCGGATCATATCAATACCATTATCTCTATTAATATTATGTGCATAAGCTATATATTTAAATTTCTGTGGTATGAAGTCTGCCTTTGACAATTTAATGTAAACAGTATCAGTACTCCATGTATTTCAGCTACTTGATACAAAATAAAAAATAAAATGATTTTTCTTGCAATATCTTTTCAGGCAAATTTCATTTTACCTATATTTGTAGCAATTGGAATAACATTTGCCCTAGAATCCACATTTTTATTGGTTCTCCATCTGCAGTACAATAAAGTATTTTAATCTGTTCCATTTATATTATACTTTTATGGACCACTGTTTGTAAATGAAAAGTAAAATATCTTCAGAGACAATAAACAAGCGAAATAAATCGTGTACTAACACGGATTAATAAATACCTAAACTATGGGAGAAGTTAAACTATATTGGACGAAAATTGTATGTTAGTGGAGTACCAAGAATGGTTTTCAACAGCACAATTTACACAACAACAAAAATTACATGACAGCTCTTTCGCTCCTTAATCAAATAGTAAATGTCTTATGAAATCTGTTACGATAGGTTTATATTTTCTGTTACGGATACCTTAAGCATTCCGATTGATTTTAGGTATATATTTAAGGCCACTAAATTTTGGCATGTTAATGAGTGAACCATTCAGGAATTTCACTGTAGTCAATTATTAACCTTGTGAAACATTTCGGTCAAGGTGATAAATTAACTTGAGCATCTTGAGGTATTTGCCCTCCAAAAATGGAAAAACAACCATCTGACCTGCATCATCTGCATGTTAGATTGATCCAGGGAGCCTCCTTTTAACAGAACAATGGGAGCATCAGCTGTTGCAAAGAAAGGTGTGTCTTTGTTGAATTCTATGTCTTTGCTGCAGTGTTTTTTGGAGCTGCAATATGCACGGTGTCACCCTCTAGTAGCTACAAGAAGTCACCCCAGGCAATTATGGATGGATGCCAAAGAAAATCATTTAGTAACACCACTTCTGCATCTTCAACCTCCATCCATGTAAATGTGCCTGTGGCTTGATTGGTGAAGGTTTTGAAAATCGAACAGAGAGGCGATAAAATAAATGTTTTTCCTGTGTTTGCCTAACCATATATGAACACATTTCGATATTTTATAATATTGAAAAATTATAATATCGAAATTTTTAATATCGAAATTATATTTATAATATCGCGTTGCAGAAACTTGATAATCGGATGTCATTAGTCTGCAGTAAATTCAACCCACATTCAAGCTATTTGCCATTGCAATTGCTTGTGCATACACTGGAATAAGATTCCTTCAAAAGCTGAACATGGATTTTTTGCATTTGGGCCAGTCTTTGTGGTGCTTCATCAAATTCTGTTGCAAACTCTAGTGCTTCGTTTACGATTTTGTTGCCCCTGTTTGCTATAAACTCAGCTAGAACCATTTTCCCCTCATTCTTGATTTTGTTAACATCAAATGTCGTGTACTGTTCCCTTTTTTTCTTTGCCCTGCCTTGCCTGCTTTTTCTTGCCTTTTTTTGCTATTGTTGCTGCCTCTGTTGCTGTTGTGCCACTAAGCTGAGGATGTCCGTCTGACAGGAGAACATTTTGGTCTTCTTTAGATAGATAGATATTTTATTAAAATAGATCATTGCACCCCCGAAAGCTGAATTACGATCATTTTACAATATACTCTAGCAAACTATACTATAAACTTTAAAATTTTACTTATTAGTTCTGTTCGGTATTTTTATAAAAACTCTAAAATATTAATATTAAGACTACTAATGTACATTAGTTCAACTTTAATAGTTTAATGACGTATCTATAAGCACTATGGTATGTTGCATGGGCAGAACTGAAATTAATTTTTATTCCATTTTCAGATCCCAATCTTGTACGGACACCACTCCATTGGGGTCGGCAAGTAAGCTTTAAAGCCATGTGATAATGGGTCCCAAATGCACCTGCAATCTCCTTGTCATGGTGCTTCTCCTGTGCTACAACCCAGTTTGCGACTTTAGCAACATCCAGATGTTCAAAAGCTTTCACAACAATATCTGCAAAAACCTGTCTGGTCAAAACTTTAGACAAATCAGCCATGCTATATGTTACGAGATAAACAATACACTGCTGTCGACTTCTAAGCACAGGCATAATACTGTAAGATTAAAATTTGTTTATTTTTCTTGATGTTACTCATCAGGTGAACATGATGCTTGTGAATCGTAACAAAAGATTCTTCAAATTCATCTGAAAATATGGATATTTCATCAAGGCAATGGCATGAGAATATAGGTTTGTAATCACCTTGCCCAAATTCATCTGAAAATATGGATATTTCATCAAGGCAATGGTATGAGAATATCGGTTTGTAATCAGTGACTAATTCTTAACTGGTATATGAATATGATTTGTTCCAATATATATTGTTGTACTCTCATACTAGCCTTCACTCTTAAAAGTGTTTTATAGTGTATATTTTTAAATTTATGCTCGAAAAGAATAGAAAAAATGAGAGAACACAGAAAAAAGGTGCTGCAGAAGAAAAAATAGGTATGCGAGGCGTACATGTATCTGCGAAAAAACTTGATTCACATTTTGTATGGAAGTGAATAATGAAGATGACTTTGGACAATAGACCTTATGCATAATGAAGTCACAAGGCTTGATGCCCGCGAGGAATGCTGGTCTTAATAGTCATCACCCAGGAAAATTTCTATTGTGGCCATTTTGAATTGTTTACTTTTCCCGGGCAATAACTACTAAGACCAGCATTACTCGCAGGCATCGAGCCTTGTCACATCATTATGCATAAGGTTTATTGAAATATTTCATCACTTATTATAATAAATATAACAGCAAATAAGATTTTAAAGTCAAACATAATACACATCTAAGATGGCTGTAGACATACAGTGGGGGAGAGGAGCAGGGGCAACTGTCCCCCACCCACCCAATGCCACACTACCACCACCACCACCAGGAAAATGTAACTAATTTTATCATGTGATTATGATTGTAACAGATAATTATGCAGCCAGGAAATAAAAAATTCCTGCAAAACTTTAATTTCCCAACAAAAATATCTATACAGTCTAAAATACAGTAGATCATTAACTACTGAATAATGTAAATTAAACAAAGTTCCATTGCCCAACAAAAATATAAAAATATCTAAACAGTCTAATATACAGTAGATCATTAACTACTGAATATAAATGTAAACTAAAAAAGTTACATTTCCCAACAAAAATATCAATACAGTTTATAGTAGATCATTAACTACTGAGTATTGTAAATAACATAACAAAGTGTTAATACATTGTTTACATATATTACTTGTGTTGCTTTATCAGCAATAATTTTGCAATAACCTGACCTCAGAACGATCCTTTTGAGGTCTTGTAAGGGCATGTCGTCCACTTGCATTTTGGAACCACACACATTCAATAAACTTTGTAAACCATCATTAAAACAAGTGAACTTAAGAGGCTCCTGGTCATTACTCCTAATGGTGACTTGTGCAACAAGGTTGGCTTTTAACATCTCCACAAGCATATTGTTATTACATGAAGAACATATAACCATTTCCTCAGCTGCTATTGGTAGGTTAATCCCTTTATTGCATATAAGACAACACAATGTGCGATTCAATTGTATGGCAACACACTTACCAGTCAGGAGATTCTCTTTTATTTGTGGCGCATCAAAAGTAATACCTTCCACCTTTTCAATTTCGCTATACTCTGTGGATTCATTGGTATTTAAATATTTTTCATCATCAAAACTCCACACCTTTAGATTTCTGATATGATAGCTCTTTCCTGCATGTATTCCATCAATGTGGTTCTCCCAAAGAACAAGCTTTATAGAGTCTGTTTGATCGGCAACCAAGCAGTCTGATTTGCAGCTTGTTTTTTCATTTTTCACAATAGACTGTTTTGTTTCTTGTTTTTTGATCACTTTAACTTTCAAATCCACCACTTCATACAGATCTTTCGACAATGCTGCTTTGACGGTACACAGGTTACTTGACAATGCTTCATTGTACTCAAACTTAGGCGAGGATGGCATAATCTTTGCTTTCTTTGTTATGGTATACTCATCCAATGCTGCATTGAATCGTTTGGTGACAGATTCCTTTACACCAGAAATTTTTACCAGCGATTTATTCTTATACCCTTGTTGAATGTTTATATGTTTCTCTGGCAAATAGCATACAGCACAGGCTTTAGTGTTCTCATCAGTTTGCATGTGACAGTCAAATAACGTTACTTTGGAATTTTTTGAAGCGGTTACTTTGCTTAATAAGTATACATACCCCTCACGGTCATCTGCAATAGAAAATACATTATTAATTTTATCTACACAAGCAGATATTAAGCTAAACACAAATGAGTTTGAGAGTCTTGCCATTCCAATGGTAACAAGGCAATGCCAATGACATTTGATGATACATAATAAAACACATTGCATCGAATACCATTCTATAAATTTTGATAAATTGCATCTATTAATGGATACCTGATTGGCCTTTGTCCTTTTTACTTGCACTAGAATCCATTTGGTCGTTTCAGTTTACGGTACATACTTACAATATTGCCCTGCTAAAGTTTGCTACAATTACAAAACACCAGCACATGCAAGAATTGCTTTTATATAGAATTTGTAAATTCAGCGAAGTAGCCAAGATTTCAACCTCAATGATTTCAATGATTTCAATAATTTCCCTATTACTAATTCACTTAGGTTCTCTTCACAGTCGTAATTTTACCAAGGATATGCTCTCGAAGAAGTTTGTCTCAAAACTAACGTTTTTATGTATTTGCAACCCTTTGTATTGCCTTAGAGTTTAGTACCAGGCACACATTCACACGAACTTTACACAAGTTGGTACCCCTTTGTATGAGTTGTCAAAGTGCTGGTACCCCTTGGTACGAGTTGTCACCTTGACTGCCCTTTCCCTAGTTATAAGATTAATGGCAGTTGCCCATGCTCGTTTTACTTTAAAATCTTATTTGCTATTATCTTTATCCCCGAGCCAACGGCGCACAGCGCTGTTCCAGGTGTTAGCTTGTGGCGAGCGTGCTAATCCACCCGGTAAAAGGAACACACTAGCAAAGTCTAAAGTTCATCAAATATCATGGGCACATGGCTATGATCCAAGGGTGGACCTCCTCACTGATCTCAAAAATATGGCTGTTTGCCAGGATTGGGATAAGCACAATGAGGATATTAAAACAAGATTTAAATTTTCAAAAGCATCTATTAGATCTATATATTTGGAAAATCAAGTTTCACACAATCACTTGAAGCATTTTGTTTGAAAAATGATATATACGAAAGATACTGTTTTAATAGACGCGATAAACTTCCAACTGAATCCGTGGACAATTTCGTCGCTGAGTTGAAAACCCTGGCAAAGACTTGCAATTTTTGTGAGTGCCTTCGCGATAGTTTAATTTGTGACCGTATTGTCCTGAGAATTAAGAATGAACAAACAACGAAGAAGCTACTACGAACAAGAGACCTCACCTTAAACAAATGCATAGACATATGTCGAAGCGAGGAAGTTACGGACATGCAGATGAAGTCTGTTGCAGAGCCCGAAGATATCAATCAACTCCAGTCGAAAGCAAAGATTAAGCCAAGAGTTTTCGAAGGAAAGAAAGGGTTACAATCTGGCAAGAAAGTTTCATGTAAATTTTGTGGCTACAAACACGTGCCAGACAAAAAGAAATGCCCGGCATGGGAAAAAACTTCTAATCGATGCAAAGAAAGAAACCATTTTGCTAAGAAATGCAAGAAAACCTCAGTTTACAGTATCGAGAGCGAAGACAAGTACGAGGAAATCAGCATGGTCAAAGTCCAAGCAGTGCGAGAAAAGGCTGTGTTCGCGAAAATGCACATCAATAACAAAGCTATAAAGTTTCAGATCGACTGTGGTGCAAGTGCTAATATATTACCGCTCAAGTTTGCCAAAGATGTTGAGCTTACTCCGTGTACCAAGACACTCGTGATGTGGAATGGCACAAAGGTCAAACCCTTGGGATCTTGTACCCTACCGGTGATTAACCCAAAGAATGACGTAAAGTATCAAGTCAAATTTCTGGTCGTCGAAGGGAATTGGACACCGTTATTGGGTTTGAATGCGGTAGAGAAGATGAAATTGCTAACAGTTCACAGCAAAAACTTTGTCAATGTCGTGGAGAAATGTGACAATGATCCCGTAAACAAGTATCCAGATGTCTTTGATGAAAATCTTGGGACACTGCCCGGGCAAGGTTCATCTGCAAGTAGATGCCACTTGCAAACCTGTGGTGTTACCTGCGAGGAAAATACCCGTGGCTGTTAGAGAAAAGTTCAAGAATGAACTGAAAAGATTAGAAGACTTAAAAGTCATAGCTCCTGTGGACGAACCAACAGAATGGGTTAGCCAAATCGTGTTCGCCATGGAGAAATCAGGTTCATTGTGGATTTGTATCGATTCAAAACCCTTGAATGCTGTTTTGAAGAGGGAACATTATCAAATCCCTGCGATTGATGATCTATTACCAGATCTGACAGATGCGTGTGTGTTTACTAAAGTGGATCTAGCTTCAGCTTTCTGGCATCTCATGATCTCGAACTGGATGAAGAGTCCAGTGTCCTGACAACTTTTGCAACTCCTTATGGTCGTTTCAAATTTTGCAACTCCTTATGGTCGTTTTAGCACACATTCATTTCTCAAATGTTCCATTTCAGCTGCTACATGAGGATTGACGGCTATTTTATCTTCACATATAGGTCAGTGATAAACCTTCAATTGTTGTTACCCTGCTCAAACCAACATAATGTATATGAGGTATTGATCTTCTAGTGTTCAAATTTACAACACTTTTTTGTTCAGTGTCACCTTGTGAACGGTGAATTGTTTTAGCCGCAGCAGAACAAGGGGGAATTTCGTTTTCAACCAATCGGCGCATTTGTTTACATTTTAGCTCTAAGCCAATCAGATCGTGTGAATCGCAATTTTTATAGAAAATACATAAGTGAACATAGGTGGTCACTTTCAAGCTACTCTGCAAGCGGATTTTTAATATTTTCCCATGAAATTTATATATGTTGTTCTTGTTAGATTTCTGTTCAAATTCCTCGTGGCGTTTTTTTTATGGCGTTGTTACGAAGTTATCGACCTTCAAACTTTGCCATGCCCAAGCTTAAATATTAATGCACTTCCATTTACAAAACCACAAACGAATTATTGTATCACTAAAAGCGAGTTATATAAAAGTTATGTTTAAAGAGCACTTAAACACAATTTATTAATATCCTGTTAACAAATATACAGCCTGTTTAACATATGGACGGCATGTATCTAAGAGCACATTATTCTTGACTTTATTTTGTAAAAGAAAACGAATAACTTACCAAACATTACAATTGTGGTCCCTCAAACCTTCGCCAAGCATTCACTTTATTAAAAAGCTCAGGGACAGTTTGTGTGTTTGTCGTTTGGACAAGTTCTTCGTCGTCCGCATCTTGATCTTGCATCTCACTATTACTGTCTTCGTCTTCGTCGCTCGAGTTTGCAACCGATTCTTGAACAGCACTTGGATCGAAATGGTGGACTGCTTCCTTTGCCGTTTTGCCAAATGAAGAAACCTTTGTTGTCAAGAGATCTTTACAAATCTGGCAGACACTGATATCGGGAAGAGTGCACTGAATGTGGAATGAATGACCACAGCCTTGAAAGACATGCCATAACATGCTTTGGCAATTGCACTAGAGGTTATTGCATCTTCTGTTTTAAGAGAATTAAAGGTATGGAATTTATTATTTGATGATTTTTAACTTATTTGCCACTGCCAAAACTTGCTCAATTCTGTCGAACATTTCAACCTCAGCAACTTTGCAACCTCAGCAACTTTGCAAACAAGTTTTTCATAGTCTTCTTTGGACATGAAAATAACCTGATCAGTCTGGCATTCGACACTTGCCCTCATAGGAATGAATTCATCAGAGGACACAGAGTCTTCACTTGGACAGCTCAAGTAGTAGCTATGGTAGACTCGGTGTCTTGGCTGCAGGATGGCTGAACAACAGGAGGACTTGTAGGTACAGGACCTTCATCTTCTGCTTGATCTGGTTCACTTCTCAAAAATGTTGATATATCTTTAAGCTACATTAATTTGAAACATCAAAACTTAATTTTGGAATACTTACCCCAATTATAACAGTAGATCTAGGGGAATGGCTGAAACTCAGTGACATTCATTCTGCAAAATTATCAGAGTGTGATGTAACTCCTTTATGTTTGGGAAAAACATCAGATTACAATATTTGCAAGTTTGCCTAGGTAACATTGATATAGACGATCATAATACTTCCTATAACTTTGAGTCCTTTTGTCAAATGTCACTACTGTATTATTACTGTTTGGGTGCTTTTCAGACACTTATATTACAGTACTTATAATTTTTGTTCATACAGGTTTAATATATACAGCACTTTAGTTATATAGTAGCGAGAAATAAGCATTTTTAAAGTCATTTTTGCAAAATTGTAGCTTACCTTCTGTTCAATCTTAGATGGTAGTTGAGGTAAATACCTAATAAAGTTATTGTTTTTGAGGCACTGCTGAAGACAATTTTTGCAAATTTGGTTGATCTTTTTTGGTGTGACTTCATAATTTTTTTCATCAGATGAAAAATTTGCAAATGCCCGTGGAAATTCATAGAAGGTTGTACGCTCTCAAATTGACAATTCTAGAAGAGCCTTCAAAACCATCTGACCACTCATCATGAAAAGGATTATTACAAGTTTTTGCAAACTTAGGCATTTTACTGTGAGTTAAAAAGATGGATTAGCTACGAACTTTGAAAGCGTTTCTGTTTGGAATGAAAAACGTTTTGCGCGGGCGGGAAAATAAAACGTTCTAATTTGTTTTTTAGAATTCTTTAGTGTGTGGAAGTAAGTGACACTGGTAGACTATTTGATTGAAGTTCTATTGAAAGTATATAGTTCCTATGCTTGTTCAAAGTCATAGTTGCAAATCAAGAGGAAATAACTAATTAAAATGCTTGCGAGGCGATTTCGTTCATGGTTTTGTAAATCAAAGTGCATTAATATTTAAGCTTGTGCACGGCAAAGTTTGAAGGTCGATAACTTTGTAACAACTTCGTATGGGTTTTATACGTATTTGGTACAAATCCATACATCCATACAATCCCATATGACTTACTATGGGAAATACATGGGTTCCTTATACCATTTCATAACAACTTTGCTATGGGAATGATAGGATTCTATATAGAAATGATCTGCGAACATGATATGGAATTCATATGGTTCTCGATGTATAAACTATGGGAATGGTATGGGTTCAACAATTATCATATTATGCTTGTGATATTACTCTGAGTGTGTATCTACACCAAGCAGGCTTGAAAAATATGCCTGGCCACGGTGGGATTCGAACCTACGACCTTTGAAATACTAGCCCAATGCTCTGCCAACTGAGCTATGCATATTGGGAATGGTATGGGCACTTGTTTTCATCCCATACCAAACCCATGTTAACATCTAACATCCAAATGGTAGATGCTAACACATGTGGGTTTGGTATGGGATGAAAACTCTTTGTGGATGCCTGGCCTCCACACTTTTCATGTTTATTTTCTGTATCACCTGACTTTGTGTAGGGCCTTCTTTAGAGAATCTTGCAGAGTAATATGCCCACTGGTGTCAATACCAGAACATGCCAGATCCTTCTACAACTTCTATCATCTGCAGGACAAAATAATTCAAACGTCAAGATTTTGCCAGATCTGACAAAAATGTATATACTGACAGAAAAATTACACCCTATATTCTGCAGCCAAATTTCCATCAAGCACTCCAGCTGCAGGGCTGTTTTTAGCAACCTCTCCAGATGTTTAAATTAACAATAATTAAGTTAAAACAATTTTTGCACCAAATTTATTATTTTACTCTGTCTAACAGAAGACAACTTTACTCTGTCAAATGCCAAATCGTTATGTTTTACTATATGTCTAATGACAGAAATTTTATTTGTTAAGTGGAGAGCCTGGCCGATTCTTTCACACTTTCTTTCTGAGAATGCGTTTGAAATTTACAAAATCTTGCAAAAAATGCAAGCAAAAATGAAATATATTTGCAAGAAATTTCTCAATCATCATTTCAAGAAATGTTTGCTATTTCGCTGTCGTCATCAGTCATTATAACGCAAACTTTAAATTGGACCAATCAGTGTCCGCTATTCATGACAGTCCGCCATATGTTTGAGATCAGTAAGGATGACCCAACACTCGAATACCGTTGGTGACCCACGCCCACAATCATTGATGAACTTTAGACTTCGCTAATGCTTTCGTTTCCCAGGGTGTAAATAGCCGGGGGGAATTAGTACCCTTGCACGATATGGCAAAGTTTAGGCCATATATGACCCATATGCGGGCATGATATGGGACAGTATAGATATCATATGGGATTGGTATGGTGTGTAAATTTGTTGAATATTGAGATATCAAAAACCTATGGAAACAAACATATTGCTACTAATCCTATGGGAAATCTGTGGGGTTACTTGGTCCATAGGTAATCCACACCAATGGCATACTTTTACAAATAACGAATTCTATGGGAATTAGATGCTAGTCCACACTTGGTTGTCCCATATACTTCTCATATCTATGGGAATCCAGACTGGAAAGTTGGGCGCTTTTTTATGAGATCTCAGGGGCACAAAGGCTACCAGATCCAAGGGCAAGGGCCGAAAATAAACCTCAGGGGCGCATCTCTGGTTGTCGAGGGTGTGAAGTGTGAATATTTGGTGCTTTTGAATAAATATATTATATATGTATCTCAGTATATAATTTGTTGTAATTGTTATGGCGGCAACGCGCTGCGGCCTGCGGTGCTGCACGGCCAGTCCTCACCAGTCCTCACGGCTCACACGTGGCCAACATTCAAAGAACATGGCAGAATCCGATGCAGAAGAACCTGAAAGTAATTTGCATAATAAAGTCATTAATAATTCATTTTATAGCTGTTCGACTAGACTAGATCAATATGTAAATTCAACATCCTCCATGCAATGCAATTTGTAAAAACTGTTCGTTTTATTTACAGCCACATGTGATAATGTTCCCATTTTGTGGGTATGGTCAGAAAGTATTGTGTTTTCGTTGCAAAAAGAAAACCGAACCCAAAGGTACTGTTTTTTTTTAATTTAAAATGTATTGCCAATTGGCAGAATCAGAATGACTGACTGACATTGAACACACTTCTCATTTGTGGACACCTTTTGACCGTTGTCCTTTGCTTTGCAACTTGTATTATTGCTGTTTGGTAGTGAATGCAAAGTGCCAAAGTAATTGTAATAAATTATATTATTCCAAACCAAATAATCAGAGTCACTTAAGACTAACAGTAAGACTACCTAACAACTGAACTATTTGCAAAAGATTGAAAAGAATAACATGTTCATTGTGTCATGTGTCAATTGTCATGGAAATAAAGTTTGGTGGTCTCACTCCCAAGGCCAGAGCCTGCATGAGTGGCAGTGAGTGTCACTGTCAAACATCACTGTGTCAGAATGTCAGCCAGACTGACTGTCACTCTGTCAATGTCATTGTTGTGTGACAAGACAGAAGATAAAAGGTTATATAGCCCAGGGCTGTCCCAACGTGGTACTCAGACCTGTTACATCATTTTAAATTTTATTTTTATGCATATTTTCCTGATGTACAATACTGTAGGTAAAGAGTGCCAATCAACTACAGTTGGGTAGGGTACCCAATCACTTGGTGAAAAGCCAAATCCTTGGTCAGCATTTAAAAGAGTATTGACTACCGACACAACCTCAGCTACAGTAGGGAAAAAAAAGTCGAAAAGAAACATCAGATCCATATATGTGTCTAAAATGTGGAGCTGAGTTGTCATGTGTTGGTCGAGAATATTATAAGAAGAGGCATTGGGAGCAAGCACATAAAGATGAACAGGAGGGCCAATATGTAACAATGATTGTTAGAAAAGACCATGAAAAGGCAAAGAACTTCTTACGGCAGATGAAAGAAATAAAAAAGCCGAGAGTTACCTTCCAAAATGAAAATACACAACAACTCAACGATCATTGGGTGGAAATTTCAAAGTAGAAGAAAAGCCAGAACCTTCTGTTTTGGAGAAGATCCAGTCAGATGGTAACCAAATTCTGGTAACATTGGGCTCACTAAAATTAGTGAAAAGGGGAACTCATCATGAATCTACGGCAGATGTGAATTGTGATGTAACTACCCTTAAGGCTGCAGGAAACCTCATGGAAGTTAAACATCCAGATATCAATGTTGATACTTTGGTGGATGGTTGCAAAGTAACCTGTGTGTCATGCAAAAATTACATGATGTCTCTCTCAATCAACAAGAAAGTGTAAGTTCTGTACCTATAGAACATTTTTAATTGTCCATTTCTCCCTTTCAACATATTTCATTAGGTCTCATTAACAAATATCAGTTCAAGATAAAATTCAGCAATAGAAGTTGATAATTGTATTTATTGAGAATTTGACAATCATTTTTGTATAAAGATGTCAAAGTACCTTTTTGATGTCCTTTTATTGGATAAGTGCTCCATGCATGACAGTGAAATCATGGCAACATCAAATTGGTAACTTACAGTACATGTATTGGTTCCTAAACCCAATGTGATTTTTTAAGACTTTTTTAGCAACAACCTGCAGTCATGGGGAAGTGGTTTAGTGTATGATAAGAAGAAAACTGAAGAGCTGATGATGGAGGAAATCAACAATGGTACCATTTTAAGAATTCATTGGTAGAACATATTGGTTGTAGTTCATCTCGAAGTGTGCTGGTGAGGAACACTTCAAGGCATTACAGTTTGCAATAAAGGAGAAAGAGATCAAAGCTTGTAATGTAGATGTGAACACCAACCTAGTTGCAGCAGGTGTGCATGTTTGTAAAATGAAAGAGGCTGCAATGAATTATCTCGTCTTGTGGAGCTGATCTTGGAAATATGTTGCGCACCCTCCCTGAAGATACCGCTGGAAACCTTTCAGGATTCTTGTTCAAAGTTTTTTTGCCGACCTACTTTCAAATACATCTCGGCATTTTTTTCCCTGAACCCATCTTTCACACACGCAACAATGATGTTTTAATTATCAGGTTTTGATCATTAGCTTGTGTAGTCACATTACAGTTTCATTGTTGAAAACTTTGAAAAGTAAACATGCGTATTAAAATCGTCCAGCTTCAAGATTTATGTGAAAGTATATGGTAATAAAGTAGTGTACGGTCTGTCACAACATTTGGACACAACATGCATGCACTGTTCGATTGGAGTTCATACATTTTGTTAGTTGTTTTGTTAGTTGTTTTGCTATTGGCATTGATTGCTGTTTAATAAATATACATATTTGCAGCAAGCAAATTAAATTTTCATTTCATTTTCATTACCACTATTCAAAGTGTATACACATGTGCGATGTAGACAAGCGAAAGTATGGGTGTAGGTAAAACATGGCCCAGGCCATGGCCCAGTGTATGGCCCTACCCTTGCCCCACCTGTTTTTTGTTTAATTTTGATGTGTAAATGATGTCAAAATTATTTTAATGTGTTGAGTTCATATATGTTTCATATATATTAGATAATATTGATTTGAGCTCATTTCTCAAAACCAGTGCGTTTTACGATTAGTACATAATATGGACTATTACATAAAGTACGAACAACCAAACAACACATGATCACGTGAGAGAATCAATGTCGGCCACATGATGCACAACTGCATCGTTTCATGGGGTGAGTTTTTATCGTTTCTTGTAGCTTTTTGCTATCAATACGAGCAGATGCTTGTCTTGCAATTTAACGAAAGTAATGTTGAGAACTTTCTAATGTTTATAAACGTTTGAATGTTAGAAAATCGTGTTTAAAATAAAAAAATGAAGCGATCGAGGTGAGTTTGAAGAATTACATTTGGACGCTGTTTATATGTTGAAATATTTACATATTTACACTTTACAGACTAGATAATTCCGAATATTCAGAATCTGCATGATTTTGCAAGTTTGGGAACTTTTTGACTTGTTTTCAAGTCTGTAAATCCTGTGCTATTTGTATTTAAAAGGTTTCGATCATCAATAACATAATAGTTATCTAGTCTGTAAAGTGTAAATATGTAAAAAATAAACATATTTCAAATAAACGGCGTCCAAATGTAATTCTTCAAGCTCACCTTGATCACTTCATTTTTTTATTTTAAACATGATTTTCTAACATTCAAACGTTTATAAACGTTAGAAAGTTCTCAACATTACTTTTGTTAAATTGCAAGACAAGCATCTGCTCGTATTGATAGCAAAAAGCTACAAGAAACGATAAAAACTCACCCCATGAAACAATGCAGTTGTGCGCCATGCGGCCGACATTGATTCTCTCATGCGATAATGTGTTGTTTGCTTGTTCGTACTTTATGTAATAGTCCATATTATGTACTAATCGTAAAACGCACTGGTGACTGGTCAAAACTTATTTCGTGTTTTAGAAATGAGCTAATGAGCACGTTAAAATAATTTTGACATAATTTACACATGGAAATTAAACAAAAAACAGGTGGACCAAGGGTAGGGCCATACACTGGTCCATGTTTTACCTACACCCCGAAAATATCGCAAAATAAGGACAATTTGAAAGTTTGTTTTGTATTTGTGGGTATATTTAACTCCTGTAAGTGTAATATGTAGCAAAGAGAAAAATTCCCGTTGTGTGGGTACGAAAATATAGGGATGTATTTCGCTCGAGGGCCTCGAATCCTCGATCATACTATAAAGCGATTCACAAATTATGGTGAAGAGATGTGCTTGGGGAACATGCAAAAGCGATTCGAGGTATCCAGCATGCTTAAAAAAGGACAATGGGACTTCAGTATCTTTCCACAGTTTCCCAACTGAGAAGAAACCTAAGGAAAAAAGGCAAATTTGGATGAATGCATGTTGTCGAGGCGACAAGTTCGTCTGTCGGAAAGACATCTATATATGCGGTTTTCGTTTTATTGGTGAAAATGGACCCACAGCAGATTATCCTGATTCGATACCAGCTACAGCTGATGGGAATAAAGTAAGTTATATTTTATAATAAATATATTTGCTTTTCTACTAATGACCTGTACATGGGGTATTAATAATATGTCTTGACTTTTGTTTTATATTTTATACAGATGAACGTTTATGATGAAAAAGGAAGCCACCAAAACCTCGACATACTTACGGCAAACGTTTTAAAAAAACGTTTGAAATGTCCGCAACAGAAGCTTTACATTCACCTAGTGAAAGCTTTCCCATGCACAGCCGGAAAGCCTAGCACAAAACGACGTTGAGGACAATATTAATATGGTACTGACTCACACAGCTTTACTACAGCTATAAATCAATGTCCAGGCTCGGATAAAATTGAAGTTGTTTCAAGCGAAAGCTCTTCAGATGAAGAGAATATTGTTAAAACTGACGTGGGAAAAGCGGACATGGTAAGTACGTACATGGTCCAAAAAATGTCAGTTCCCTTGAACCCAAATGCTATCTAGTGCAGCTGTAGATTTAAAACTGTGAATGGTAATAAGATATATATCTATGTTTGCCAGCCAGTATGTACTGACTTGAACAAGTAAACAATGGTGTATTGCCTTTTCTTGCAAATCTTTTGAGCTAGTGTGCTGTGTGCCTTATTATTGTGCAGCCAATGTGTATCACTATCATGTAACTCAGCATAAGAAATTGTACTTACGGATTGGCAGCACACATTTAAATTAAGGTTTAATGTAAAAAGGAGATATTTCTTTTTGGTTGTGTAAAAAGTTGATATTTGATAGTAGATACTTCTACTCTTTCCCATATCGAAAGTGAAACTTGTGCTCGACAGCCCTTGTTGTTGTCGAAGAACCTTTGTTTGGTTCTCCTGTGACTTCAGCTTTTTCTAATCGTCTGTGTTTTGCTGTTGTTGACACAGCAGTTCTTTTGCCCACACGGGCGGTTCTCTGGACGTCAAATGCAACTGGTGCGAACATTTGCTTTGAGTACTTCTCGCTCAAGAACGTGAACAGCTTCGACTCTCATCACATACATTTTTTCCACCACTTTGACAAGAACTATGGCTTCGATCTCTCCTCTCTCGACCACTAACTAGACTTTGATCTATGTGAAGGACTTGTTGATCGTCGGCCATCGTCAGTTTTGTGTATGCTGCTCCGAGCACTACCAGCAGTTTTATCGGGCTGGGCTGTCGTTTGTTAACAAATGGTCCACATGGCTGCGAAAACTTTCCTCATTATTTGGGCTAATCAAATGTGCCTAGAGCCATTTTAAGGCTCTCAACAACCTTTTCATTGATTTTCTAATACGTATATCCATGACTTTCATGAAAAAAATTAGGTTCATAGCCTCTATAAGTTTAAATAAATTGCGAGCGAAAAAATACTGTCAAGCTATGGTGAGCAACAACATATATTTTGACCATCCAAACGACCCCAGAATGCACTTCTCTTTCGAGAAAAGGTTAATTACAGTTAAAGTGAATATACTAACCCATATAGAATCTAAATCCAGGGTGACATTTGACATCTTGTTAAAAGAATATTGAGGAAAATACATAATTTTGGGAAAAAAATGCAAAAATTTAAATAAATTGTTTTCACGATCTTGATCCGGATAACACATTTTATGACGCAAATGATTGCAAATATTATCTTGCAGATCAGTTTAATGATATGATTATGGATTCTGCAACTGCTGATTCAGCTTTGTTTACTGTCATGCATTTAAATATTCGTAGCCTGTCATGCAATATGGATAATCTCTCAAACTATTTGTTTTGCCTTCATCATAAATTTACTCTCATTGGTCTAACCGAAACATGGCTAAACAAAAATCAACGAGATAAAACGATATTAACCCGAAATTTTAATGAAACTAATAAAACTAAATTTAATGCTGTGTTACAAAATACGAATTGGTTTGAAGTTTATAACTCTAATGAAACAAACAGTAGCGTAGCTAGGAAAAAAAGTTTGGTCATGCTATTAGTATTTGCTGGTTACCAGTCTCACGATGCGCCACCATGGTTGGCGCCGAGTGAGAAAATTTTTGAAAATTAGGGCCTCTAGATCGTCGGAAACGGCCTTTTCAGACATTTATCTATTCATATTTATACAAAACATTTGGGTTATTTTAACGTCACTCGAACTTAATTTCCTGCGTTCTGGGTGGCAAAACTTACGGAAATTCATAATAAACTCCATACAAAAAGAGAAACCAGTTCAGGAAAACACGATAAAAACAATGCATGTGTAATAATTATTTTATTTCGGCATGAACAGCATTACTAATTACATTACAAATAACTCAAATGAGTTTAATTTTTTATAACTTCAAACTGGGTGCAAACTGCAAACGATAATAAAAAAGTTATGATGCTGCACTAGAAAGACAATCATCATTGCCAACGAAAAAGAAGTACATAAAAACATACAATAAGCCATAGACTAAATTACCAATATGTAAATGCGAGACAAACTTTCTGCACCGGTGACAGAGGTGAGGTGAAGACTGGTGCAATTTTCTGTATAAGTCTAATTAACATAGTCATAGAAATAGTAAAATAATAACATGGAAATTATGTTCACCCAGGAAAAGTTATATCATGAGTCACTACATTTGAGTGGATATTTCCCCTATAACTCTAGTCATTTATAATAAATAATATGACTTATAGTAAAAGAAAGATATGAAATTATATTTTGGGGTCACCACATTCAAGTGGGTATCTCCCCAGGAAGAGTTATATCATGGACTCACCACATTTGAGTGGCATTTCCCCTATAACTCTGGTCATTTATATTAAATAATATGACTTATAGTAAAAGAAAGATATGAAATTATATTTGGGGTCACCACATTCAAGTGCGTATCTCCCCAGGAAGAGTTATATCATGGACTCACCACATTTGAGTGGTATTTCCCCTATAACTCTGGTCATTTACACTAAATAATATGACTTATAGTAAAAGAAAGATATGAAATTATATTTTGGGGTCACCACATTCAAGTGGGTATCTCCCCAGGAAGAGTTATATCATGGACTCACCACATTTGAGTGGTATTTCCCCTATAACTCTGGTCATTTATATTAAATAATATGACTTATAGTAAAAGAAAGATATGAAATTATATTTTGGGGTCACCACATTCAAGTGGGTATCTCCCCAGGAAGAGTTATATCATGGACTCACCACATTTGAGACTTTGAGTGGTATTTCCCCTATAACTCTGGTCATTTATACTAAATAATATGACTTATAGTAAAAGAAAGATATGAAATTATATTTGGGGTAACCACCTTCATGTGGATATTTCTCCTATAAATCTAATATTCCCTGATATGTAAGTAATTTTAAGCTGTAAATTAAAGGTGACAAAACTGAAATCATACTGGCAAACATGTATATTAACCCATTAAGCAGCAATGCACCCAATTTTATTCTTTTACTCCGTCTAAAGCCGGATGGTTTTACTCGTCAAGGGAAGAGTCTTGCTCTTTAATGGGATAATATGAGGTACCAAACTATATTATATATACCATTACTTATATAGGAAAGCAAGTCTCCTTGGTTTTTCAACAAACCTCTTTACCACCTCTTCATGCAAGGTACCTGCATCTTCTTTTTCTGACAATATGTCTTTGTGTATGGAAATCCTGCAAAGAGAACTAAGACGGCCTTGACTCATGGTATTTCTCAAATAACTTTTTACCCTCTTCAAACAGGAAAATGATCTTTCAACAGAAGCACTAGTGACTGATATAACACCATTCATCTTCAGCAACTTTACTACTTCAGGAATGCTAGATTGCAGATGGAACTGAAAAATATATTTTAATAACTCTCCACAAGAATCTTTATGAAAGTCCTTATCCCTGTAATAAAACAAAGTTGGCTGACTAGCATTGGTATGTCAAATAAATCACCATACATTTCCTTGAGAAGATCCAGTTTTTCTGAGGGCACTTCACCATTCCAAGTCTTAAATACCCTTGGGTTCACAAGATCTAAAAACCTAAAACGCTCCATATCGTGAAAACGCTCAGTCAGCATGCCTACAATGGAATCAAGAATTTCAAAAAAAATTTGTTTGTAATTATGCTTTAGGTCATACTTGGTCACTGGAAGGTCCACTTTCTCAACAGCTTTGTCATAAAACTCAGAATATTTGGCATCTGTTCTCAGAGAAGTAACAAATGTCTTGAATCTCTCAACTCTGGTCATCCCATACTGAAAATCAGTCTTTTTGTCTTGCAAGATGGAATAAAGTATAGATGACTGCTCTAAAATCTTCTGAAAAATTAACACCAAAAAACAAAACAAAAATCCATTAAGGTAACCAAGTAAACCAGTCATCTTATTCAGTGTTTCATCATCCCACCCTGTTGGATTGTCAACAATATTTTCAAATAGTTCTATAAGTTTGTCATAATTATTATACAAAACATTGATGACACGAGCTCTATAGTACCATCGTGTATCACCAGGACTGGGAAACTCAAGGTTATGGGAAGACAGAAATGCTTTCCTCCTTGGAGCATATTGCTAGTAAAAGTACAAAAAGCACCTATGTTAATAAAAAATATCTTCACAGGTGCAATAGAGGATGCAGCTTGACACAATACAAGATTCAGCCTATGAGCTGCACAATGAACAAAATGGGCAAAAGGATACTCCCGTTGTATTTGAGCTTGAACACCATTGAGATGACCCGACATTACAGAGGCACCATCATAAGTTTGTCCAATAAGCTTATCCATGATATTTTCATGCTGAATCAACTTACCTTTAATAACTGTAGATAAAGCAGTTGCAGTTCTGTCAGAACTAACATCCACAAACCCAAGTTGCCTTTCTATAATATCACTCCCTTTATCCAGACGAATGATCATACTCAACTGCTCTTTGGTGGAACATCAGTCGCCTCATCAACCTGTATACTCAAAAAAGTGCAATTACCCATTTCCTTTAAAATATCATCCTCTATTATCATATCAAGACAATTAATCAAATCATTTTGAATATCAGGGGAACTCCAGTAAACCGCCCACCCCCTCTCAAGCTCGATTCGGCAAGCCTACCATGTAACTGCCTTTCAAAAACAGAATCCATTCTGGCAAAACGTTCAAGCAATTCCCTGTAATTCCCTCTGTTCAAGCTATCGTTAGATTCATCATGACCTCTAAATGCAAGCTCTTGCCTAGACAAATATAGAACAGCTTGTGTTAGATTTTTTAACATTTCTCTATTTTGCCTTACCTCCTCATTATGACGCTGAATCTCGTCAC